TCACCTCAAAATACCTACCTACCACTACTCCTAATTGTCGGCATACGGGGAACCCCGTAGCGTCCAGAACCGTGTTCACGAGAGAACATGCGGGGGCTGCTCCGGGTGGAGAGAAGAATCTAGCTTACTTGAAAGAAAAAAAAAAAAAAACTAGTGTTACTACGCCCCTACTTGAAAAAAAAAAAAAAAACTAAAGGTACTGCAACACATGAACTTTTCACTGAAAAGGAAAAGAAAAACAGAACGAGAAAGAGAGAGACAAACAAACAGACAGAGAAAGATAGAGAGCGAGAGAGAGACAGAGAGAAAGAAGACAAAAAAGAGAGAGACAGAGAGAGAAAGAGCGAGAGCTAGAGAAAAAGAGAGAGAGAGAGAGAGAGAGAGAGAGAGAGAGAGAGAGAGAGAGGGTATATACCGGCTTACCTGCCACCTTGACTGCCTGATTAACGTCAGCGTCGTCTTCAAGCAGAAACTGGATGGCCAAAGATCGATAGGGACGCAAGTACACGCGGGCTCTGAGGATTCGCCCTCGGTGCCGATGCTCAAGGACCAACTCATGGAATCCCGACAGCGGTGCCAAGCTTTCCATCGATGCCTCTGATCTCTGATCTCCACTCATATGACTTCAGGGCTATCAATCAAACGTGAAGAAGGAAGGGTTTGGAGGGACAAGGGGGTGGTGGGTGGGGGGTGTCGGGGTGTAAAGGGGGGGGGAGGGGGAGGGGGAGGGAGGAAGCGGGGAAAGGACAGGCAAATCCGATCATCATCAACACGTCACCACCTTAGGTTGACATCAACAGTATCAGGGTCGAAATGCTGGGGCGTACCGTCATTAAACCCCCTCAGCCAGTGTCAAGGTTAAGGTTGACATCAACAGAAACAAGCAAGCAAGAAACAAGCAAACAAGAAACAACCACCAAATGTGACGACTACATAAGAAAGCGTCAGCCAAACCCCCCGGTAGTTATCAGTCCGTGCTCTGCTTGATGGATGGCCCATACACGCACGGAACCGAATCGGCACCCTCGACCACTGGAGCCCCCCAAATTTCTTAACCACACAGCCGTTCATGTCGATCATCGACATTTTTTTTTTTCAAAAGTGGGCCCATGCTGCCCCCCAAGTCTATCTAAAATAGAAGATAGAAGGATGTCTCATTGCCACGCGAGCTCTGCCCCACGTCAGTTATGTTGGTATTTACACCCTCTCTCTCTCTCTCTCTCTCTCTCTCTCTCTCTCTCTCTCTCTCTCTCTCTCATGTGCCCTCCAGTTGTGGTTTATACTGCAGTTCTGCTCATGTTAAGTGGCAGAAAGATGTGATCTTGAATTTATGCGACAAGTAACCTGTCATCGAGAAAGAAATCATCTACAGTCGTCACCCGAATAGAACGCCCAGTTAGTATTGCTGTATTCGGGGCAGCTTCCAGTCTAGATACATCGAGAAAAGGAATCACCTGCCGCCAAAGAAAAACGAGAACAAACGAGAGAAAAACGGAGAGAGCCGGAGAGAGAAACCAAGAGATACTGAGAGACAGAGGAAAACAGAGAGAAAAACGGAGCAAACAAACGAGAAGGGCAGACAGTTCTTACCTCTCTCGAAAACAGAGAAAAACGAGAGAAAAACGAGAGAAAAACGAGAGAAAAACGAGAGAAAAACGTAGAAAGACGGAGGAAGAGAAACAGAGGAGGGGGGGAACAAGAACAGCAGAGGAAATCACGAGAAGAACGAGAGAAGAACGAGAGAAAAACGAGAGAAGAGCGGAGAGAAAAACGAGAGAAGAACGGAGAGAGACGGAGGAAAACAAACCAGAGGGGCAGACGGCTCTTACCTCTTCAAAACGGAGGAGAACGCGAGAAAATCGCAAAAAAAAGAGAGAAAAGGGAGAAAAGCGAGAGGAAAACGAGAAAAACGAGAAAAACGAGAAAAACGAGAAAAACGAGAAAAACGAGAAAAACGAGAAAAAAAAAAGAGAGAAAAACGAGAGAAAAACGAGAGAAAAACGAGAGAACGGCGGGAGAAAAACGAAGAGAGACGGAGGAAGAGAAACGGAGAAAGTGTGTATAAGATATGAACGGTAACGATGGTTTCACACACTAGAAAGTGTGAATCCGACATGCATTGCAGTGAATTACACACACTAGAAAACATAGCAGGGAATTACACACACTAGAAAAAATAGCAGGGAATGGAGACAATAGACAAAGAGAGCAAAGCAGTAGAGCAAGACGACGATGTCCCGAACGCAACCTAATTACGTACCTCTTCTCTCTCTCAGACATCGATAGATCCAAGGCATCGTAAAAAAAAACGAGAGAAAAAAAAAAACGAGAGCAAACCAAGAGAAAAAGGCGGGAGAAAAACGGAGAAAGACGGAGGAAAACAAACAAGAAGGTCAGACAGTTCTTACCTCTCTCAAAAACGAGAAAAATAAGAATAAAACCGTTAAAACGAGAGAAGAAAACGAGAGAAAAAAAAACGAGAAAAAAAAAACGAGAAAAAAAAAACGAGAAAAAAAAAAAAAAAAAAAAAAAAAAAAAAAAAAAAAAAAAAAAAAAAAAAAAANAAAAAAAAAAAAAAAAAAAAAAAAAAAAAAAAAAAAAAAAAAAAAAAAAAAAAAAAAAAAAAAAAAAAAAAAAAAAAAAAAAAAACAAAAAAAGATTTTTTTTTTTTTTTTTTTTTTTTTTAAGTTCTTACCTCTGTCAGACATGGACAGATCCAAGGCAAAATCCGTTGTGACACGTGTTTGCTCTTCATGTCTTTTGGCAAGTGCACGTTTATCGAACCAAAGCTAACGTGGCCAGTCCGCTCGACATCCGGCTTCCCATACATCCTTCATCTCGTCCAGATTCATGCAATCAATAAAATCCAAAAGCTCAACTTTGATCTCATTGAGAACCTTTCGGTACCCCGGACCTCTAGGATTCTCACGGTCAAATTCCATGGGCACTCCCTCTATGATGATATGATGATGATGATGATGACGATGGATGATGATGATGATGATGATGATGATGATGATGATGATGATGGATGATGATAATGATGATGATGATTAGGATGACGAGGAGGAGGAGGAGGAGATGATGATGATGATGATGATGATGATGATGATGATGATGATTAGGATGACGAGGAGGCGGAGGAGATGATGATGATGATGATGATGATGATGATGATGATGATGATGATGATGATGAAGAAGAAGAGCACCCCCCTTTCTCTGTGATATGATGAACCCCTCTGTACGGTGATGACGTCAAACAAAGCTCTTCTCGAATGCACTGCTCGACTTCAATCCTCCGCTGCAAGTTGACGTCATCATCATGGAGAAGGAGTGCTTAGACGTATGCGACGGCAATTACGGCCAGACCTGGATGAATCTGACCGCAATAGCGTCCAGAGCGTAGTGGAAAAAGTCTTTATGTGAGTACATGAGCACCTGCACAAATAGAGAAGGCCAGATCCACGATTGAACAAGAACAAGCTGTCAGAAATATTCAGAAATTTCTTTTTCAGGGAAAACAAAAAAAAAACAAGGAGTTCGTTCTTAATTTACCGCCACAGACAGAGAATTCGATTGAAGGCAACCACTTTACCACCCAGGTACTCTACCAATTTCACCCCACAAAGAAGAAAGAAATTCCATCTGCACCCGTACTCACATGAAGACTACATTCACTAAGTTCGGGTTCCTCCAGACTCAATAACGTCCAAAGCATAAACATTGACATTGAAGTAAAAGAACATGGAACGCAAGGGTTACAGGCCAGCATTTTCATTTTTATTTTTATTTTTATTTTTATTTTTATTTTTATTTTATTTTTATTTTTATTTTATTTTATTTTATTTTATTTTATTTTATTTTATTTATTTATTTTATTTTTTATTTTTATTTTTTTTATTTTTTTTTGGGTGTGTGTTGGGGGGGGAGGAGGGGAGGGGGAAAGCCAGCAGCTTTTCCGAACAGGACTTCCATTCCTTTGGTTTTTCCTTCGCTGTTTTTTTATTATCATTATTAGTATTTTATTATATTATAATATAAATATATTATTTTGGCTTTGGCTTTGGCTTTCGCTTTTGCTTCGCTTTTGTTTTTTGCTATTGCTTTTGCTGTGCTTTCCGTGTATTTTGCTTTAGCTTTTGCTTTTGCTTCGCTTTTGCTTTTTTGCTTTGCTTTTGCTGTGCTTTCCGTGTATTTTGCTTTAGCTTTTGCTTTTGCTTTTGCTTTTGCTTTTGCTTTCGCTTTGGCTTGGCTTTTGAGAAAGGTTATAAATTCCCCCACACTTTTGGCCACGTTTGGCCCAAACAAATAGAAAGGTCCCCCCCCCCCCCAGGAAGTGGGGGCGGCAGGTCGGGGGGCGAGGTCCCACTACCGTAGCAACGGGATAGGGTAGAAACGAGTTTGTGGGGTAGTTGATTGACCAAAATCCTGCCGTGCACTACTCGTGATCCCACGATCAGTAATTTTCACGTATTACCCGAAATCTCCTTCCCCTCCTCCTCTCCTTAACACTCACTGGACATGCCCGTGCAAAGAAAGCTTTTTCTTCCCGCCAGAATCTTTTCAATCGGTTGGGGGTGTGGCCAACCCCAAAGGAGGGTGGGGTTGGCCTTTAGGCCCACTGGATAGAAGATTTTCAGTGTTCTACTTGCTGTTGTGCACTTATCTCATTGGGTGGAGCCCTCCTTCCTTCACGGAGTATATGGAGGTGTGCCCAACCCCATGACGACTGCTGACACAAGAGTCGAGTTTACTGCAGAAAAATAAAAGGGCCTTTACCCGATATAGGACTCAGGCCTTGTAAAAATAGAGCAGCACGGGCCTTGTAAAAGTAAAGCATTGTGAAAAGGTATCTTGCCAGGGCTCAGAAACGTGAAAACAGGTCAAAGGTCAAGTTCTCTATCAACAGGCACATCTAAATCTAAGGCAAAGGGCATTGTCAAAAGACTTACCTGTTCACCAGGAGATGTGTATGTCATGTCTGTTCGGGTAAGGGTGTGTCTGTACGTGCAAGCAGTGTACCTGTTCGTGCAATGGAAAGTGTCTGTTCAAGTAGTAAATGTGTCTGTTCGTTTAGAGTTGTGCCTGTCCGAAAGTGAAGTCAGTAGGCACAGTCCCAGTTCTGGTCTAAGTCAAGKGGTCAGTCCAGATCCAGACTTTCAAGTCCAAATCCAGGCCGAAGTGCCTCAGCAGCAGTTGAACCTCATTGGGACTGTACTGGGACACATGCAATGCAGGGTCTGGGACAAAGGGAGAGGCTGAATTGAGCCAATGCAGACCTAGCGAGGAGTGGCCAACACTATAAAAAGAGCTGCCTGCCTCATTCCTCGCCAGATCTCCACTGGCTGCAATGCGTGGAAGTGCTGGTGCACTTGTGCGCTGAGTCAGGAAAAGCAGCGCTGGAGGAGAAGACGCGCTGGAGGGAGGAAGAAGCCTGTACGCTGGAAGTGATGCAGCCATAGCTGCCCAGCGAGTTAGCACTAGTAGTAGAGGGTTAGTATGTAGCTATGAGTAGTATCCAGAGTAG